CCCTCCCCCGTTCATGCTGTGTCTCTGTCTGTCCCAAAAATAAATAAAAAACGTTGAAAAAAAATTTTTTTTAAAAATAAATAAATAAAAAGGAGCGAGCCAAAGGCAGACAGTCAATACTGTTCCTGTGCTGAACTCTGTGCACGTTTGGTTTGCCTGGTGTTACACCTGCCACTCTCTGAGGGATCGTGGCCTCCAACCCCTCCCCTTGGCTGCCCCCCAGTCTCAGTGCCAAAATCCACCCAGGATGGGCTGGGAGTCTCACAGATGTCAGTTCCTCTAGTAGGTAGACCCCTGGAGGGAGGGGGGGTCGGGGGTGAGGTTGTTTGCTGCCGCTAGCTGTGCGGCTTCTGTTCCAGGGTTACTGTCTTCCTTGCCCTCCCCTGACCCACCCCCACCCCCCATATCCAAAAGATGAGACAGCTGCCTCAACTTTCCAAGCCACGCTTCCTCCGGGTCCAGGCCCGCATTCTCAATGCCAGATCCCAGTTGGGGTCCTGCTCCAAATGGGTCCACCGCTTTGAAACCCCAGTGCTGCTTCTCACCTTGCTGTGAAAAAAAATCCCAGACATGGGACCACAGATTACATGGGAAACTCTTAATTCTTCTCCCTCTCTCTCTCTCTCTCATGTTCCCAGTCACCAAGCAGTACTGCGAAACTGCCCATGGGTCCCAAGGGAGTGCTCTGCTGAGATCCAAACCAGCCACAAAAGCTCCAGGGCTCGTTTTGTCTCTTTCCTTCCTCTTCCCTACAAGAAGCAGCACAGCACAAAGCAGGGATGGACAAACCATCATCTGAGGGCCAAATCCGGCCCGCTGCTTACATCTGTAAACAGCTTTCTTGGCACATGGCCATGCTCATTCCTGACATATTGTCTACGGCGTACTTTCATGCTACAATGGCCGAGCTGGGGTGTTGGGTCAGAGATCGCACGGGCCGCAGTGCAATCTCTCGGGCCCTTTACTGACAAAATCCACCAGCCCCTGACCTAGCAGAACCGCATACCTGAGCGCTTTGTCTCAAACCCCCCTCCACCTTGCTGGAACTGGTCACTTTCTGTGTGGCTTAGAGGGCTCTATTCGCATGAGGCTTACAACAGCACCTGGTGAGCGTGAAACGGACGTTAACCCGGGTCAATAAAAAAGCAGAAACCCAGCAGCCAGGGGACGGACAGCCTGTCCACTGTCTCCTGCTCCTAGGCATTCTCTTGACTCTGTTTCTTAGGTTTGCCACTGGGGAAGGGGCCCTTCTAGTGTCCCCAGTCTCCACAAGGGTTCCAGCATGGGTCTCCCACCCGCTTCCCCCAACCTCCAGACTCTCAGACGTGAAGGCATGTACTGCCCCCCACCTTGGATCGGAAAGAAAGGAAGGGCCTCCCACATCCTAAAGCTGAAGCAAGCTTGGTTGGCAACCGTATGCTTCCTCTCCATTTTATCTCAACACCCTGCTAGCCAGAGCAGCGAGCGGGGGAAGGAAAAAGAAAAGTCACATACATCACATATCACACACGTATTCAAACACACAGCTTCACACGCCTTTGTGTGCAACTGACACATATACAACCGCACAGACACGCGGTCACACACACACACACACAACTGTTCAGGCACACAAGCCCACACGACGCCTTCAGAAATGCAACTCCACTCATGCCGCGTCCATCACACAATCCCTGCACACACAAACACATGCACACACATCCATGCACAGCGTCGGACATACGACCTCACACACGCCTTCAAGACCCCGCACAGTTCCCCTTCGTAAATGAAACTCCATACAGTGACGGCCATACAGTTCCTACGCGCGCGCGCGCGCGTACACACACACACACACACACACACAC